GGCGCGGACCTACATACCAAATTTCAGCTTTCTAGCTCTTCAACAAACATGATTTCTGGTATATCGGAAAATGCATTTTCCGATTTGCCACGCCCCTAGTGGGCGGATCGGGAAAATTTTAACACTTTATAAATCGGAGATATACACGAGTATGTGTTCCAAATTTCAAGTCTCTAGCTTCAATAGCGCCGAAATAGATTGCGTTCATACGGACAGACGGACAGACGGACAGACGGACGGACAGCAAGACGGACATTGCACAAAACCAATATACTGATTCACTTTCGTGAATGAGTATAACAAGTAAGAGTGCTCTAGTCGAGACTGCTCGACTAGGAGATACCCTGAACACTGCCAGCTGATAGTCTAATCATTCTATATGTATGTACGCATACATACGCCGAGTCTCTAGTACTTGAAATACGTTTTTTTACAAATTGGGGGCCAAGGGGCCGTGTTATCTAAAAATCTGTAAATTACAAGATCTTTGTATTCATTAAATGTATATACACAGTAAATCTGAAGTCTCTAGGTCTAAAGACTAGGCTGAAAGAGCAAAGTCGATTTTTCGATTATTCTAGATAAAAAAGTTATCGAATTAGTTATCGAAAAAATAAGACAAACTTGTAGTGCATACTGCGTATGCATGCCGAATTTCAGCTTTCTAGCTCTTATATCTTCTGAGATCGGCTTGCTCATACGGACGAACGGACGGACAGGACTATATCGACTCAGCTCATCGCCGTGATCAAGAATATATACTGCATGGGGTCTGCAATGATTCCTTCTGCCTGTTACATACTTTTCACAAATCCATTATACCCTGATTTCCCATTTTCAATGAGTTCAGGATATACTTACAAATGCAATTTTGGTCCAATTTTCATCACGTTTTATTTTTGCAACATTTCATGGCACTAAATTTATAGTGTGTTTTACTTTTCCGCCTGTGGCACGATGTAAAAGCGGAGTGTCCCTTGCTTGTTTGCAAAGCCCGAAATGTAAGGCTCTGAGAGCAGGAAACAGAGTTCAGTGCGTGGATCGACCATGTTGGGAAATTCCCTGTGTGTTAGTTTCTTGTAGCCAGCTGTTGAGAGTTTGGCTCTTACTCAAGACATGTTTCTTTCCAATAAGACAAGAGGCGGTGCAACTTACCACGTATTTGCGGGAGCGACATGGTGCGCTCGGGCGAGAAGCATTCGCCGCTTGATAAGACACGCCTCACATCAGTAAGAATCTCGGGATTCTCGCGTTTGATATTATATACAAAATTATCGAAGGACATTTCTTAAATATTTATATATTAAATGAAACGTACGTTTGGCATTTAATGAAAACCCGTCTACACAGCAAACTCTCTCGAGACGCACAGACACAAATGTCACGGCACTCTATGTAAACCGGCTTTCCATTTATCGTTGACCGATTTATCAAAATTTTGGGTAGTAGATTCAAACAGAGTGTTACGACGTAAAGAAAACTTTTACCGCCATTGAGACTCTACAAACAAGTAAGAGTGCTCTAGTCGAGACTGCCCGACTTGGAGATAACTTGGACCCTCCAAGCTGATATTCCAATCATTCTGCACTGCTTTCATGCACACATACATACACATTATGAGTACACGAGTATGCATGTAAAATTTCAGTTTTCTAGCTCTGATATCTTCTGAGATCAGCTTGCTCATACCGACGGACAGACGGACAGGGCTATATCGACTTAGCTCATCGCCGTGATCAAGAATATATACATATACTTTATAGGGTCTATACAATACGCAGTACGAGCTTATCACATTTTTTCGATAGCTCACCCGATATCTTTTTATCGGGAATAATCGATACATTTTAAAAGCTCTTTACGCATAACTTGAACACTATTAGACCTAGAGACTTCAGCTTTACTGTGTATATACATGATGATGAATACCCAAATTTGTAATTTACAGATTTTGGGTACCACGCCCCCCTCGCCACTAATTTCCAAAGTAGAGACTTGTGCTTCGGAATATACATACATACATATAAACATTATGATCACGCTCTGTAGTTTCGCTCATTGAAAAGCTAGGCAAATCTATAGCTTAACACGGAGCTTACTGTCGAGGCGCTCTAAAAGTTGGCTCCAGTTTCCAAGCGGAAAAGTGTTGCATACTTTTCAGCGGGCGCTGGAGGCTGCCTGCTGGCTGTTTCTATATAGCAGGAAGATTCTTCCCCACTTGATGTCATTCAGGCTTAAAGCTCATCGAGCTCTGCTAACTGATAGTTAAATACACAGTTGATTGCTCGAGCCAAATAAACGGATGGCACATGTCGCAGCGAATGATGATTGCCGCTTAACTGGACAATCAGCCTGCCCCCTCAGCGGGGGCCATTCGAAAAGTGCAACACACGAGCCGGCTGTTCACCCCTAATGACGCTCCACTGGGCTGGGCTCAGCCCCAAACCGGAGTGCGGCGAGCATTGGGCAAAGAGTGTAAGAGAACTAACTAAATTCAGAGTTTTTGTGTGCATTATTTATTTAGGGAAGTTTGCCGTCAATTTGATGGCCACATGTTGCTGCTGCTGTTGCTGCAACCACCGAGCCACCCAGCCCAATAGACGACCTGTCTTTGTCTAGTATATATATGCTTTTATAGTTGATTAAGGCATATCAAATGTCAAATGTCGCTGTAGAAGACGCTGCGCTGCCAGTTGTAAAAACTAAACAAAGAGGAAGACAACGCGGCTGGGTTGTTTCGGTTCGGTTCGGTTTGGTTTTTATGGTGCGGTTGAGTGCGGCACACACACATACGCGCAGGTAACTGCTGGCATACACACACACACGCAGTGTGGGTCATAAAACAGAAAAGAAAAGTAAAGTACAGAAATGGCAGCAGCAGAAAACAAGAAATACAATTTTATATGCTACATATAACTCCCTCTCCCCCTTTGCCCTCTCTCTCTCACTCACACGCTCTAGCTCCCTCCACCATCTCCCCCACTCACTGTCTATCTGTCTGTCTGTTAGTCTGTCTGTGTCGCGGGTAAGGCAACTCAATTGGCAATGACGCGCCGCGTGATGGCTGCGAGTGCTGCTCGCTTTACAGGAAACGGAAATTGAAGCATAAAATTGCCAAGTTGCAGCGAAAGCCAAGCCAAAGCCAAAACCCAACAGCAAGCAGCTGATTGTGCTCGACTCAATGTTACCCTGTGGCATACAAAAACAATCACTTAAACCCCTTTTAAATATATGCAAAGGCTTTGCTACCAGACGTGTCAAGCTCATGTCAAGCTGCTGTCAAATTGTTGCTACTACAATTACATATTCAAGCATGTCTTCTATAACTCTTGTAGCTCAAGCTTGAGCTGTTACAGCATGTCAAGTTCATGTCAAGCTTCTATCAAATCAGCGTTAGCCTTTAAGAGACCCACAAGGACGTATTAAGCTTATACAAATTTTTGGCTAAAATGTAAATGTTAGACTTGCACCTCATGTCAAGTTTGTGTCAACCAACTGTCAAATTGCTGTTGCTCTGTAGCAAGAGCTGAATGCCTATAGCTCATGTCAAGCTCATGTCAAATTGCCAACTAGAAACAAACACTTTGTATAAGTGCTTTCCCCAAGCAACTTCATTCTAATGCAACAGATTCTTAGCTCTCTAAGGAATATGGTATGTACGATCCATCACATCCTTTGCACCCATTGGCAATCCGCATACAGGGTAGCTGAACAGGAGGAACACGTAAGCAGCGGAAATAAGTTTGTTTAACGTTGGAATTGTGTACATTATCCATGGATTCGCTAACATTATCCGCATATCAAATGCTCGAACAACTCCAGCTGCAACTGTCAATTATAAGCGAAGCGAAGCGAACAAAATGCAACCGATAAGTCCAATTGGAGTTCCATGGCTATGTCGCCAGATCAACTGATAAGGTCATTAGAACTGCGAATATTTCAAGTTCAGGTCAAAGCCACTTTCACTGCTGAAAACTAAGTGAATTGGGGCAATGATGGAAGTTAAGTTGAGTTCCTGCTCAGATCTCGGGCTTGGCCTGTTTCTATGCTGGGATCAGAGTGGAAAAGTGATGCGAGACACTTGGCCTAACATTGGTATCTGATGTTATAGAAGTTCTTACGAAACCATGATCTGCTCTATGTTTAACTTCTGCTTTTAAATGTTGACAAGCAGTTGGACTTTGATGCAGTTCACCAGCTCTTCTCAAGCACTCCTTAAGGCATAAGTTCTTAGGAATCTCTTAAGCTTAGCCGGATATCGAATTGTGCTTTAGCCAGCGTCGCCTCAGTTCCTGTTTTACTTCCACTGTCAAATGCTGACAGGCAGTTGGTAAGTGACAAGCTGGTCTTGGTCCGTCGGTCCGTCGGTCCGTCGCTTCATTGGTCGCAAGTAAATCATGCGCTTCATTTGCATTTATCAACTGGCGGCCCATCAAGAGGCACACACACACACACACACACGCGCACGTTGTGCGTAGCTGCGGCTGACAGCGTTTGGGTGTGGGCAGTGGCTACCGGTGGGCGTGGCTTGACTTGATGCGGTGTTCAATGTACTTCAGCCTGGTGGTGACTTTTACAAACGATAATTAATGAAATCTGACAGTGTGCACAGCCAGCAAACCCCCCTTCCCCTCCCCCTCGTTTCATGCGCCTAGACAAAGTACTACTAGTCAAATGGACTGCGGCAACGCTGTGAGTGTGTGTGTGTGTGTGTGTGTGTGTGTGTGTGTGGGCGGGTGGGGTGGTTGGGGCATGGCCTTGGTGCGTTCGATGCCGCTGAATGGCCTTAATGAGAAATCGTTTTAATTGAGTTTGCATGTTTATGGCTGCTCCTACACTTGAGCAGCGCGCTGCTATTGCACTTTTTTCTTTGTTGTTGTTGTTGTTGTTGTTTAACCACTGTCTACTAGTAGTACTGCTGCTGGCCGTTAGAGGTCGCCCCCACCGTTTTATATGCGCAATTACTTTGAAAGCAACTGCGACAGCGAACCCCCCTACAAAACCTACAACACAGACAAGCTGTGTGTTTGTCTGTCTGTGTGTGTGTGTGTGTATAGGCAGCCGAGTCGAGCCACAATCAGTTTTTGGGGCGGCTGGGGCAAGGACAACATCAAATGTAACCGCATGCTGCCTGCCGCCTGATGAGGGTCAATTGTCCATTAGTATACATGTGTGCGTGCGTGAGTGTGTGTGTGTGTGTGTGGGGAGACGCATGTGGCGCCTGTTGGCCTGGCAACTTTTGCCCTAACAACAAAGGCAACTGGAAGCTGTTGTTGCATTCGCCAGCAAACGAGGCATCAACTGGCGGCAGCTGCCGCATAATTATTTGTTGATTATGTAAATTTCAGGCGCAGCGTGGCAAACTCTATTAATAGTTGCCAGCCAGGCATACCCTGTTTCGCATGATATCCAAAGGGATATCAGCAGCAGCAGCAGCAGCAGCAGCAGCAGCAGCAGCAGCAGCAGCAGTCGCCCACAGCTGGGTGGCCTGGCTTGCCTTGGCCTGCTCTGGCTCAGGCTCTGGCTTCGGCTCTGGCTTTGGCTTTGGCTTTGGCTTGGGTTTGGGCTTTGGCTTGGCCTGGCCCGGTCTCGTTGTCTGTTTGTGCAACAAAGCAAATTGCTGTAATCCATTTTGCAGGCAGGCGCATCAGCTGCTTGTTGCAGCAAGCTGCTGCCACTGCTGTCGCTGCTGCCGTTGCTGCTGCTGCTGCTGCTGTTGGCGCTGTTTGTTATCAAATGAAATGGATTTTTATTAGATTTTGCCTGCAAAAGGCAAGATTTAAATTTATTTCACGTTTTTTTGTTCGCCTCTTTGTTTGCTTCTCATTTTTATTCCTCTAGTTGTTGTTGCTGTATTTTTTATTGCATTTTTTGTTTTTCTTTTCTATTTTTCATGTTCTGCGCTTTCGACCACTTTGTGTTCAAGATTAATGAGTGCGAAATGTAAAATCCAGCGAAAAAAAAAATTAAAATGAAAATACCGAAAAAAGAAAACAGCAACAAAAATAAAGCGCCAGCTAGAAGAAGAGTTGAGTAACGGCATTTGTTGTTGTGCCACACCCACCTCATCACACACACACACCACGCACACACACAAGCCGCCGTCCCGCTGGGACGCCGTTCCCCACAGACAATGGCGGCTAAACTTTTATTTACAGCTATAAATAAGCAAAGAAAGCATAATACGTATAAAAATACCGTTGTAGCAAGTGTCAAAGATTCCAGACAGATATAGACTAAAGCTCCAGAGCCCATAAGTTTACGGAACTCTCCTCAGGTAGTCCTTGGGGAATTGCCTCAATGTGTG